AATTTAGAGAATAGGAAGGTTAAAAAGATATACCCAATTTCACGGATGTTACAACTATAATTATAACCAAGAATAATATAAATGATGACCGAATGTAGTAATATTTACATCTAGGTTCTTTAAAAACAAAAAGTTGAAGTGTATTTGGAGCGCAAATTTAACTAAAAGTCTTTGACCTTAAAATAAGTAAGTGCATAGTTACTTTTATCTTACATATAAATACAAAGTATCATATTGGTTAAATGTTATATGTGCTTATTCTTTGTATTTATGATACTTGTGCTAGACATGATTATACTTGATTTAAACGAGATATGTTAAAATACTGATTTACTTATTTTATCATACTTAATTTATATTGGGTAGAATATAGATGTGAAAGATGAAATAATGATGTAAGCCTGTGACTATTATAGTACTTTTGTATTGATGAAAAAGTTATCTAGTAGATTATAGATTCAATGATGTAAGCCCGTGACTATTATAGTACTTTTGTGCTGATGAAAAAGTTATCTAGTAGATTATAGATGATAAAGACAGACTATTTTAGACATTCCAGTGGAACATTAGCAGACTCGTAATATATAGTTGTTAATGAATTATGTGTTCATTTGATGTACTCTATCCCCCTCCCCCACCCCCACCCCATCATGGTTGCCTTATATTGCTATGGAACCCCCGGAGTAGTATTTTTACACATTTCTTACAATGATCCTTAGGATAGGCCCTATGAGATCATCATATTAGGATCTGGGAGTGAGAATAACAAGAATGGATAATCTGGTTAATTATATGGTGTGGAATATATATATATATATATATATATATATATATATATATATATATATTAGGATTTTAATTATATTATTGGGAAATAGGTCCCAAGCCTGACCCACTCAGTTTCTTTGCATCACAAGTGGTGGTATGAAAATACAAGGATAATGATATTTGCTGAGAGATTTAAAGAGCTTAAGGCCATTAGTATTATACACAGTTGTAAGGCCCGTAATAACTAGTTTATGCTTATGTTTCTATATCAGCGTTGACATCCAAAGTTTTTAGTATTAAAACGTTTCTTAATAATGTTTTGACTCTGATTTATCTTTAAAGAAAAATATTTTAGGAAAAATTTCACATTATTATATTCTACAAAAGAACACTTTGTTTTAAAAAAGCATAAAGAAAAAAATTATTTAGCCATGAAAACTGGGGATATCACACAAACTAAAATGAAATTTACAAATGAAATACTTTCATATCTAAATTCGAATAATTTTTAAATTTACACGTGAATCAAAGTATAGTACTTGTAGTTTTATATTATTTCAACCTTTGATTATTCATAAATTAGTTTTATAAGATTTGCAAGTGAATTTATTCACAATGTGAATATGAAAAATATATAATTTTGGTTTTAACATTCACAATATGAATCTAATTTACTATTTCTACATTTTAATCATATACAAGTTAATTTAGTGAAATTTACAAGTTAATTACTTGCTTTCACATCTAAATTTGAATAACTGTTCATATTTACATGTGAAACAAATTATATTTATGTGTAATTTTATACAATTTCAACAGTTTTATTATTCATAAATTAGTATTGTAAGATTTGTAAGTTAATTTATTCACAATGTGATATACTTTAGTTTTAAACCTTCACAGTGTGAATCTGAGTTGAATTTTTGAAAAAAAAAATTGTTTTTTGTGAAGGTATATATCGTCAACAGGAAAATAAAAGGATCATAAGGTGATACTTAAGGATAGGGTGATACTCCACAAGCGACATATTTTAGCCAAGACCATCTCGAGGGATAACAAGAAGAAAATCTTGAGCATGTGGTGTTTTTAGACACTAAAAAATCAGACATGTCAAGGTCTATTTCCATGCCCTGGATAATTTTGCTAAAAAGGGCACTTGCTAATGCATGTTAGGTTTTAGGGGTCGGTGTCCCTAGTATAAAAATCGATGATGTCGAAAACTGGGATCGTATCATGAATGCCAATCAGAAACATAATCATAATCTATACCATAGATGTCAGTGTGTCATAAGATGTGGTCTTGTAACTCCTAATATTCAGACCTTGAGGCCACTTAAGTGTAGGAAGAAGCCTCTACAACAAAGTACAATCCCAAACCACCAAACTGAATGGTAAAGAAGCAAGTTGCCACTCGATGTCTTAGAAGAAGGAACATCCACAAAACACTAAGTCCTCAAACGACTCGTGTAATCCTTTTTCCAAGGACAAAACATCCTCCTTCATGGCACAGATTAGCATGTCCTCAAGCCAAGGAAAAGTTTTGCAATACTCATACAAGATCAAAGACAAAGAAGCTCACTTTGTGGGTCGCCTAACTGTAGAAGCAACCACATCATCTCAACAACGTGGGTAGCTCTCATGGACAACTCGCCAATACAACTGTTGTCCCTACTAACAACCTCTCAAATAGGTTGCACCCCCAATGAAGGCATCACAATGTCAATAGGAAATAAAGTTACCATTAGCTTCATGTCGTCACATGTAGGCCAAAATAACTCGGTAGCTCTCCTCATGGCCAACTCGCTAATAAAAATGGTGTCCCTACTAACATACCCTCCATGAAGCTTCACTCCCAATGGTAGATTTGTATTCAAATCCATGAATTTATTTGAACACAAAGGTGAGCAGCCCCATCATCCCAACATTATTGGTAGTTCTCAACTCGCTAATAAAACCTTACTGACCGCCCATCCAAGAAGCTTCACCCTCAATGGTAGATTTGCATTCGAATCCATCAATTCATTTGAACCTAGATTTGGATCTTCAAATTAAACCTTGATGACTTTGTCTTTCGATAATATATCGAATAGATGATTTTGATTGTGGTCTTATTTGTGATTTAGATTAATTCAAATTATTTTATAACAACAAAAAAGAAATTCTAAAATCTCATTCTATAAAAGAGTATCTCTTTTTCCATATGGCATTTCCTCAGTCCTTTTATACTCAAACTGAAATACTGATTTCGCCCCTGTGCTATTTTAAACTCCCGATGCATTAAAGACAGTTGATTAGTGTTTTGTTCTTGATTTTATGGAATCATGTATTCAATGTTCTAAATCATAAAGTATGTTGCTTTATTACTTAAGATACTTACTCATTTCTAATTTCAATTATGTCTTATTTAAATACGTAGTTACCCTTATGTTATTCAATTTATGTCCAATATTTATTATCTCGCAAAAAATATTTAATCTGTTAAATGAGAAGCTTATTATCGTAATTCATGTTTTGCCGAAATGATCTCATAAAATCAATACATAACTCCTTGATAAAGGTGATCGTTGATAATCAATATTTATTAAAATATAGTAGGGTGTGTATGGCTACCTCATCACCATGTTAATATCACATAATTTGATATACTATAATTAATATAATTTTATAAATATTTGATTTTCATTATTATTTTTAATTATCAATATTATGATTTTTTACCCATGATTTTCATGCGTTGCAACCTAGTACTTGTGTAAAATACACACTACTAGAAAAACAGCCTTTTACGACGCTCATTGCGCGTCATAAAAGGCTTAGACGACGCGCAAATGTGCGTCAAGGAAGGCCCTGTCATAAAGAGAGACGACGCGCTTTTGAGCGTCGTCTATAGACGACGCGCATTTACGACGCTCATTTATAACGCGCAATGACGACGCGCCTTTAAGACACGCAATGCGTATCAAGGAAGGCCATGTCATAAAGGAAGACGACACGTATTCGTGTGTCGTAACCTTACGACACGCATGTTAATGACACGCAATGCGTATCAAGAAAGTCCCTGTCAAGAAAGGCCATGTCATAAATGAAGACGACAGAAATTTTTGCGTATCATAATTTTAAATGTTTTAAAAAAATATTATTTATAGATTTACTAATTTTCAAATTAAATAATACATTAAAAATCTCATAATACAAAATAAAATACCATAAATAACAAAGATAATTCATTTCACTAATATGTCAAATACAAATAATTATTCCAAAAGTGAATAAATGTTATAAAAAAATGAACTCATTTATATACAATTGCATCATCTAGCTTACTATGTGCCAACAACTCTCTATGTGTTTACTTTTTCTTGAATCTCGTTTCCTCCAAAGCTTCTAGCCATGCCAAAATATGATATCTTGAGTCTCGTTTCAAGAACCAAAATCACCTTCAATCACCCAATTAAACTCTAATGTTGGTAGACTGAGAGTTCCAGAATCAAGTTTACATCCATCACCTTCAATCACTCATTTAAACTCTAGATCTTCTGTTGTTTGAAGGAAATTGGTGTTTGTAATCTATGAACAAAAAACGCAAAGACCAAGGTTAACATTTGGTGAACGAAATTTTAATTGGTTGATAGCAATACTTGACCTCTGAAAACAAATAAACAAAGGATCACATCATCCTTATCTCAATGGTTTAAGCTACCAAATTACCTTTGAGAACCAACAGGTGAAAACACTATGTGACCGGCTGCTCTTGTTGTTCATATTTATTCATGCCACTTTTATATTTGCAGCACCCTGATAAAGCATGAAAACTAATTTTAAATCCAATATAATCATAAATAAGAAGTAACAAAGTGTAAAGGGGACCGATTGTACAATGTTATTAAGAGGTTTTATCTAACTATATATAACCTAAAATGTGTTATATTGTTATATTTATCTTACATAGTCCATGATTCCTATTGAATAACTTGACTTGTTATTGTATTAGTAAATTTATCACTCATTATAGCTTCCAAAACTTAGAATTTGCAAAGTTGTATTGTTGTGTATATCAAATACGTAAGAAACTATATCATTATTTATAACTATATGCAGTAGAAACCATCATCTAATAGGCAACATTGAACATAAATATATTACCAAAAGGAGGGCCCTTAGTGCAGCAGCAAAGGCATGGTTAACTAATCCAGACTTGAACTGTTATCTTGATTCCACAAATTGATTGATAATCAAATAGCTCTTGCATAAAGGGAATATTCTTTTCGATGATTCCTGCATTTTCTTGCAACATTTATTTCCCAAAAGTGAAAAGAGTTCCATGAAGTTATAGATACATACATATGTGCATCTATGTATGTATAATTGTATATGTGAAGATTCTTAACCTGGAGTGCCAAATCCATAGATCCGTCAACATTGAAGATAATAGAGTTATCATTCCCTCCAACTCTATTGATAGAAATATATGGTCCCTCAATTCCAACTAAAGCAGATAGAAGATCATCAATTACAGTCAGTTCCTGCATGTGTTGAAACATTATCACAAAATCTTCGCTTATCATTACTTTAAAATGATATTCTATAGTAACTTGTTTCTAGGTTTCAAAATTGACACTAGTTTAAAAGGCCAATAATTGCACAAGGAAGCATAAAAACAATTGTAGCTATACCTGAACAGAAGCATTGTAGCAACCTATCGGCTTCTCAGATTCCAATCTATACAAAACATACCACCAGACCTAGAAGGCTGACCTGGCACATAAGCACTGATTGAAATGAAATCTTTTTGTGCAACACATTCATACGCATTGATTATTGGATACCTGTTGATAAGATTAAGAGGAGAAAAGTTTTACTTGCCTCTTCACGTGCATACTGATCTGCCTAAGAGGTAGAGGAAGGGTCTGCATTATATTGATGTTGATATTCATTTTCCCAATCCCCATTTACATGCCTGGCCTCGTTATTATTTGCCAAACCAAATAAATAATATCCTGATTATAAAAAAATAAATAAAAAAAAGACAATTTTAATTCAAAGTAAGTAAAGTAACCTGAAACTTTGGATTGGTGTTCTGAGCTAAAGTGTGTGCTAGCATTCGAGTCTGCTCCATAGCAGCCAAAGATGGAATGTTTGCACCTGCCATTCGGTCCACAGATGTCATCTGCGTTTTCTCCTGAAATCAAGAACATAATAATTAATAGTAAGTAAACATTCAATTATTATTTTAATTATTAAAGCGAAAGAGCTCACTGACATGCTAGAATTCAGATGCCCACATGAATCCTTTCCCAATTTTCTTCAACTGATTTATAGATGGGAACCTCATGATTGTGTGGACAAAGAGTTATCACTGCAGGCATGAGGCAACAAAGTCACTATTACAATCCTGCATAATAGGTGTGAGTAGAGAATAAAAGAAAAACATGTTGTGGCCATGTTATCATAAAAGTCTGATTACCAGGATGTTATGGTTTTTCAGGTATTTTTTATTTAAAATAATTTACTTACAGAAAGAGATGAATGTGAATATGAATAAATATTAGTATTTGTGTTCTGTTTGTTAGTTTCAGTCTACAACATATGTATACCTTTTGTGCTTCACTATCCACCCAGGCAAATGTGAGTCTTTTTTCCTTCAATGCTGACATGGCAGCTTGGTGTTGGTCAATTTGATTTACATTTTCACCAGCTGATAGTATCTCTTGGACCCTACGCATGTCTTTAACATTATAATATATATAATATTGTTCTTTAAAGAAAAGAAATAAAAGACTATTGTTTTATGAATTAAGATAAGAATCTTACTTAACGCATTTTAGGGAGTCTGTGGTTTGTCTTCCAATAAGAACAGCAAAATACCAAACTGTGGTGTTATTTCCAGCATGTGAATAGCCTTTTGGATCACAACCAAGCTCCATAGATGTAACACGTCTTAATTGGGGAAGCATTACTGAAAAAATAAATAATTAAATATCATATTAGGTGTGAAAAATGACAAAAATGATTTATGCATCTTCATGTTTATTTTGTTCCATGACATCAATAAGTCTTGAATTGTTGATTGAGCCATGGTAGACTACAGGTTTGACGTCGGGGTCTCTTAGAATAACAATGATAGGAGCTTCTTCCACACCAAATCTGAAATTATTATTATATATAATTTAAATTAATCACTAATTTAAACCATTGTTAAGGAGAGAGTTTATGGAAATTACCAAAGCGTCCCTAGAGTAGTAGAAATACGAGGTAAGCTTAGTATGGTTTTTATTTTTTAATAACAATAATATGGTTATTAACTTATTATTATTATCCGCATAAAGTAAACTCACCTCACAATGCAATCTGAGGATTTACAGCCAGGTGGAAGAGCCAAAAGTGAAGGAACACCTGTATCGTATCAATAACTTGGAGAATGATTAAATCATCCAATATTTTAATAAAAAAATAACTTGGGTATTATTATTTAATTATTACCAACCATTTCGATAGAAATGGGCTCCTGTATAGTTCTTCTTAGATAAATATGTCGCAAGCTTAAGATCACTAAAAATATTATTAAACTTGAAGTTTAGAAGTTTACAACCAAAACATGAAAACAAAAAGAATTGAAGAGAAAAAAATGATGATTTATGATTCAAAGTTGCAGACATGCATGTATATCTTGATTATTTCACTACAACACTGCAAGTCAACTGATATATTGACTAAAGATAGTCCAATCTCATTAGAGCAGATTCTTGTCTCTTCCAATCAAATCTTTGAGCTACGATTCTTTAGTCCAGGTAGTTCCAGTAACCTATATCTTGGTATATGGTTCAAAAACGTCACTCCAAAAAAATTTATATGGATTGCAATCAGAAAAAATCCACTCTCGGTTTCTGACACTAATTCGACCCTAACAATTGACAACAATGGGAATCTCATCAGCATTTCCATTATATAAATTAACAAATTGTTAAGAAAACAAATGGCTCAAAAAGTTAAAAAAATCACTTTTTTAAATTACCCATATCGGTTTTGTCTCATTGGCCAATTCCCAATCCCAGTAATCTTCAGTTTTCGTTTTCTTCTTCTTCTCACCCTGGAAAACAAGCATTACTTTTTTTATAAATAAATCATACAAAAGCACTGTAATTTGATGATCAACACTTTTCATTCTATCTGTGTATCTGAAAGACATTATAATCCCATGAGTTTAAAATATCATAATATATGAAAAAACAAATGCATAAGTTATAATACAAAATAAGAGTATAAGACAAACTATTTTTCACTTAATCCATAAAGAAGTTGATATAGAAAGTCAGGAAAATGAGGCTTTCCCTACTAAGTCCAACTTCTTAGTTCTTACAAATTTGCCCTGATTCAATTGTTCTGTTTTTGAGAAAAAATAAGTTTATTAAATGTTATTGAGTTAATAACTGCGTTGCAATAAATTATGGTTTATATACCTATATATGAGCCGAAGAAAGCAATGACCAGCTGCACCATTTGCACCTACAGAGAAGAAAGGAACCTGAAGCTCAACATCGATGTGATCAGCTCCTAGCTCCATTGCTAAACACAGAGCATCCAATCGACTCTTTTCATCCCTATTGTATTGACCACCTTCCCATGTTGTTCTAGAAACTAACATAGAATCAGAAACCTTTTGAGGAAGATAAACTGTTAGAAGATCATTTAAGATGAAGGCTATTCTTATGATCTATGATAGAAAAAAAAAGAATTTCCTTTATCTTGAAGAAAGGTTCCAACTTGTGTTTGAATGCTACCTACTGCATAAAACAAGTGACTTTTGGAATGAACTAGCGTTTCCTGCTCAAACAGACAAACAAAATTACATCATATTAGCCCTATAAACATCATACATACACATATACTAGCTAGAGTACTTGTGTCTCTAGATTGAATGTATACTCATCTCCAAAATAGCTGACTGCAGGTGGTAATTCTGAATTTGAATCCTTACAACATGAGATGAATTAGTGATTACAATTCTTGCTTCCAACATCTACAACCTGAAAAGAAATATATATCATTATCATGACATAACTCAACAGTTGAGAGAAACATGGAATGGGCAGAAGGTCTTCTTTAGCACAATACACCCGGTGAAGCTCTTCTTTAGCACCAGCATCACTTGTCCCCATAAACTGCCACTTGCTTCTTCTTGAACGTGATTGAGCAGCTTGCTCAACTGCAACTTCCATTTGCTTAATTTGCCCATGTAATCACCACATTGCTAAATCCCCTACACAACAAACCAAACAAAACAAAAATCAACATCAAATATTAATTAGAAAAAACAAAAACAAAAAAAGTCAAAAATACCCTTTAGGTTAACAAGAGAGGTTGTCATTCCAAAAAAAGATGGAGAAGAAGAGAACAGTTTGCGTACCTGATTTAGGGAATAAAAGAATCTTTAAAAAAGGAATGTAAGAGAAAGAAATCTAGGGCACATACATTAAGAAGAAGATAACAACTTTCGAACCTGATGCCTCCTCCGTTTTTTTTTCTGCATTCTGATGCTTCCGATCGTACCTTGAACCTCTGACTTTCGATCCCAAATCCGACTTGCAACCTTCGATTTCTGATCTTCAACCTGTAATTCGAGTCATAGTTCCGAATCTCATAAAATTAACCTTGCTACCTCCTATTTCTGATGAAAGAGGAGTCTCAAATCTGAGAGAAAAATGAGGAGTCGCTGGCTCAAATTAGAAACCCTAAAAGATGGATGACATAGGGAAAATCAGAAAGGTATGAACATACCATTCGATAACCAGAAAATGGACTGAGAGGAGGGGGCTGTTAGGGCTAGAAACTAGCTTCCAATCTCCTTTATCAACATCATATCGATAAAGATCGCCAAAAACATATGTCTGTGTAATATATCAACCTTTTTCAAAGTAAATTCAAGCATAATTTCAGAGAAGGTCACATGAATTCATCTATAAGACATAATGTCCAATTGTTGATATCTTCCATCCCTAAAGTCACCAGCATGGAGTCTTTTTTTCTTTGGAACCATCGTTGTTGCCTCATAACTTCGGAGATGGCGTACCTACTGTTGCCTTGATCGACGTTGACGACCGGGAATGGTACCTAACGATGGTCGAAGTGTGAGGGAAGAAGAAGGTGGCAGTCAATGTCGAGAGGGGGAAGGAAGGAGCCGATAATTAGGGCAAGAAGGAAAAAAGAAAATTGGAAGGCGGGGTTTTTAATTTTTTAGGATTTCATTTCCCCCTAATTATTAAAGGATGGAACGCGCCTTGTATTAAAATTTATAAAGCGACACTCTTAGACGACACGCGTTTTATTATAAGTGCCCTCCGTGTTTTTTTGTTATTATTTAGACACTAATTTAAAGGCACGTAGTAATGCGCGACATAAATCCTTAAATTTTTTGAAGAGATGACAATTTTGTAATGTCACTCCCTTTTGCGTAACATAAATCAATGAGTGTCGTGGTTTGCGCGTCGTAAAAGGGTATTTTTCTTGTAGTGACATAAAAAAGTGACAATGACACATATAAGAAAATGACAAAAAGATACAATGGTCATTTAAAACTCTTAACCATACAAGACTACCCTTACAAAGAAAATGAAACCGTAGGGATCTATGTGTAAAATAAAGAACAAATTACACAAATGGTCCTTAAGGTTTTGTTTTTCTTTTTAAAGTAGTCTCTATGAAACTTTTTTCCCTCAGATGGTATCTACGGAGCAAACCTTGAACACAAAAGGACCCTGTGACTAACTTTGTTAACATAATAACAAATTCTATAAAGTTTTGTTAAATGAAAAAAAAAATACCCTTTGTTTTATGCACGCAAATGGTCCTCTCTCTCTCTATCTCCCCCCCCCCCCTCTCTCTCTCTCTCTCTCTCTCTCGTGTGCCCCCTTTTCTCAAAATCGATCGCTCTTCACACCTGATCCTTCTGCTCTCTGATTTTATACAATCGTGCAAAACTTTGAGACTCTTGGAGAGTTGGAATTTGACAAGAGTTGAAGCTCTAGTGGGTCAAAACATGAGTTCAACAACGATCGAACAAGATAATCCAATGAACGCTTCAACAATTCTAATGATAGCGAATTCTACCGGAGGACCAAAATTCTCCCGAACAAGAATTAGAACAACTTCGATTACAACTGAGACCCCACCAGCAGGACCATATATTCGGCTTCCCTTAATCAGGCTACAGAAAACAAACCATGGAAGAAGAATCAAGAACCTAACTTTAACATATTTCTCAAGAACAAAGCAACCTAAAACTATGTATACAATTCCTAACACAGTGCCTTGAGCGTTGAGATTTGAAACCCTAAAAACAACTTCTCTTGAAGCAGCAAAACTTATCACAACTGGAAGTCTGGACCATATCCTGTTTTCTTTGTTGTATATAAGTCCAAATAGAACAACAAAACCTACCGATAATGAACATTTTAATGCTAGCACGAACCTTCTGTGCACATAAAGGTGTTAATACATTCAAAAAGATCAAATTGTGTGTTCTTTTTATTCTGCCCTTCACTTGATGATGAAGGCTTCGAATTTGCTGGTGAATTTTCAGTCATCTTTGTTTGAAGTAATTTGGAATAAAATAAGAAGAAAAAAAAGGACATGTCTTTGTGGGTTTGAGGGAAAGAATGAAAGGAAAACATTGGATTTTCAAGATCTGTTTCGGGAAAAGTTGCGGAATCAGAAGGCATGTAAGACTTTAGTTGATCAAAGTTTAGGGTTATGTGTTGTTGAAGCTTTTGCAAGTTATGCTTCAAATCTTGATCGAGGATTTAAGGTGGAAATGAATGAAAAGATTAAAATCAAGGAAAATTTTTGTTTGTTGAATCTAAGGGTGGTGATGAACGAGTTTTAACCTCCAATGATTTGCAATGTTCTGAGACAATTTGTTGTATTTGATCTAAAATCATTCAAATGGAATTTTGATTTGTTGTTTGTTGGATGCTAGAAACAAGGGGGGGGGGGGGGAGAGAGAGAGAGAGAGAGAGAGAGAGAGAGAGAGAGAGAGAGAGAGAGAGAGAGAGAGAGAGAGAGAGAGAGAGATCTGTGTGCATAAAACAAAGGGTATTTTTATCATTTAACAAAACTTAATAGAATCTGTTAACAAAGTTAATCACTGTGGCCTTTTGTGTGCAATGTTTTCTCCGTAGGTACCATTTGAGAAAAAAAAGTTTCATAGGGACTACTTTCGGGAAAAAAAAACCTTAAGGATCATTCATGTAATTTGTTCTAAAAGAAATCCGTGAACACTTACATTCGTATTTTTAACCAACCACAAAGGACCATATATGTAATATCGTTTAGACTAAATCTTATAAGTTGCTTGTCACATTTCTTGAATTCTGTTGAAAATTTCGGAGCTAACACCCATAGTTTTTGGAGTGTTTAAGATTGCAAATAAGATGTGGGCGAACAAGATTCGACTATAAAATTCAAGAAATTGCTTTGTACTGAAGAGTTTCGTTGAATTTTTGCTATATTAAAGCCGTCAATATTGTTGGCTTCTTCTCCATAAAGACCCTACTTTCCCCATCATCCTTCTGCATGCTATCAACACATAATAAACTCACATCAGTCATGGTGTTTTCAGGATGGTTTACAATTTTGGCTGCTGCTGTTCTACTGTTTAATGGAGTTTCATTTGCTCAAACAGGTTCGATTCCAGTTCCATTTAATCCTTTTTGTCACTGTATATCTTAGGAATTCAAAATGTCTTATTAAACTTGTAACATTTTCTGTAATGTTTTACGTATTATTGAATGTAATAATTAAGTGATACTTAAGACTCTTTTATATTTTATTTCGTCGCATAATATTAGTTTTGGATATAACTAAATTTATATATCAAGTCAAATGTTTATAACTTTTTTATGTGAATTTTAGTTCAAAACAGAGAGCACTTTATAAACATAAAATAAATATTAAAGTATATTATGATTAATTAAAAGGGCCCGCTTTTTATTTATTTCTAACTGTCATGCCTTTTTTTCTATTTAATGAAAACGTACTAACCGCTTAAATAGATGAGTTCATGTAGTGTATCACTTTTATATATCCTGGATTTTCTTTATTATATTGTATTTTACGTTTATAAAACTAGAAGATACAATATATGGCACATTAATCTAACTAAAGTAGCTTTACAATAGAACTAAAAATAATAAATATTGGAACTTAATAATTGTATATCTATGGGTTACCTGGTAATCCTCGTCATTTTAACAGGCTAACCGTTATCTAAATTGGCAAAAAAAAAAATATTAATATTGTATCATTTCGTTAAAATATTACTTAAAATTGCACTCGATGCCAGTGCACGTAATATTATTTGTTTAAAACATATATAATAATAACAGCCCAACTATTCACGGCATAATAGTATTGATGTTTCATTTAAGGTCAGCTTTTATACCAAAAATTATTAGTCAGTCTTATATTTTCATATGTATTAAAAAAAGAAAAGTGCGATTGATTATTTATTTGGATATCAAAACTGCATGTCATAAATATAATAGAGATGGATATATAATAACAGCTACATAAGTAGTGTTTACATAAATACTTTAAAATATAGACAGCAAAATTTTAGTAAGATTTTCAAATAAAAAAGCTTGGATCCTCATGTTACAAGATAAATCGAGAATCTACATTTCGAATTGTTTAAAAAATCGATAAATTTTCAAACATTTTTTTAATAGTTTTTTTCCCTTGAATAAACCCGACTTAAAATTGATAAATCTCATTATAATCCATAAGTTTTCTTTATTATTATATCTATAAACTATAAAGTATAAACAATATTTAGACATTTAAAGTCAATTACAATTTTTTAAACAATGCATGGGATGATGCATAATTTATAATATTGTATATATATATTGCGATTTTATCTGTAGAGTGGAAAAGTTTTAGAACATCATAGTTTTAAAAATAAAAAAAAATAAAAAAAAAAAGGTAAAGTTTATATGGCTACATATTTCTTCTTCTTTTTTTGGACAAAAATAACCTTATAGAAAGTACTGATTTACGACACATTAATCTCTCTCACAGATCCAGGGTACAGCTTCATGCACCAAGCAACAACAGCTCCAATGGTCTCATACTACGATTACATAATAGTTGGTGGCGGCACCGCCGGCTGTCCGTTAGCCGCTACTCTCTCCCAGAACTCCTCCGTCCTTCTCCTCGAACGAGGTGGCTCCCCATACGGAAACGACAACATCACCGATTTAGCCGCCTTCGGAGCCGCCTTGTCCGACCTTTCCCCTTCTTCTCCCTCCCAACGTTTTGTCTCCACTGACGGCGTCGTCAATGCTCGAGCCCGTGTGCTAGGTGGCGGAAGCTGCTTGAACGCCGGTTTTTACACCCGTGCCGGTGCAGATTACATTCGGCTTTCAGGTTGGGATGCAAAATTGGTCAATGAGTCGTACAAGTGGGTGGAGGATGTGGTGGCGTTTCAGCCGCCGGTTAGGCAGTGGCAGGCAGCGGTGAGGGATGGTTTGGTGGAGGCCGGAGTACAGCCTTATAATGGGTTTACCTACGAGCACATGTACGGTACAAAAGTTGGTGGCACGATTTTTGATCCAAACGGCCACCGTCATACGGCGGCTGATTTACTCCGGTATGCGAACTCAAGTGGACTCACGGTGTTGCTGTATGCACCAGTTAATAAAATACTATTCACGAGGCTAGGTGCGTGCGTGATTGTATTTTATGGATCAAAACTTGTACATTTATATCTGTGAACTGTTATGTACTTTCTTGTAATTTCACAGGAGGTATACAAAAACCAAGGGCCCATGGAGTGATCTTCAAAGATGCAGATGGGGTCGACCACCGGGCTTACCTAAAGAGAGGATCAATGAATGAAATCTTAGTGTCGTCTGGATCATTGGGAAGCCCACAACTTCTAATGTTAAGTGGTGTTGGCCCAAAAAGACAACTTAGGGCCCATAACATAACTACGGTTCTGGAGCAGCCCATGGTGGGCCTAGGAATGTCCGATAACCCGATGAATGCGGTTTTTGTCCCCTCTCCTCAACCCGTGGAGGTGTCTTTGATCCAAATCGTGGGTATCACTCGTAATGGAACCTATATCGAGTCAGCTTGTGGTGAAAACTTTGCAGGTGGAGCTCGAACTCTAGATTATGGAATGTTTTCTCCAAAGGTACAAATCTTTGCAATTGGGCCTCATTTAAAAACTATATACACATTAGGCCTAGGTAAAGCCCATTTACATCAAGGCTTCAAGCCCATGAAATTTATGGCTATTTCTTTCTTGTTATTAGATTGGACAACTATCGACTGTGCCTCCAAAACAAAGAACACAAAAGGCGATAGACAAGGCAGTTGAGGACATGAAAGCGCTCCCACAAAGTGCTTTTGTGGGCGGGTTTATCCTGGAGAAGATCGTTGGCCCAATATCCACGGGTCATCTTGAGATTAGGTCTCGAGACCCGAATGTGAACCCATCAGTTACATTCAACTACTTCAAAGATCCTCGGGACTTACAAAGATGTGTGGATGGGATCAAGATCATCGAGAGTGTAATCGAATCAAAGGCATTTTCACCATTTAAAGTTGATACTCTTTCTATAATAAATCTTCTCAACATGACTGCTAGTTCACCGGTTAATCTATTGCCTAAACATGCAAACGCATCAAGATCTTTAGAACAGTTTTGTAAGGACACTGTGATGACTATATGGCATTACCATGGAGGGTGTGAGCTTGATAGAGTGGTGGATCGTGATTATAAAGTTATTGGTATAGATGCTCTCAGGGTCATCGATGGCTCAACCTTTCGCAATTCCCCAGGAACTAATCCTCAAGCCACTGTTATGATGTTAGGAAGGTATCTAACATACAATAACTTCTAACTACTTTAGTATCTTTATATATTTTATAATTGATGCATGGAGATTGTGTTGACATGTGTTTGTTTTGGTTGCTTATGATTTTTGTAGGTACATGGGGGTTAAGTTATTGCGTGAAAGACTTGCAACCGTTAGACCCAATTAATACCATTATCCATTAATCATCCCAAACTTTAAAGTTTATATCGTGTGATTATTGTTACTTTTTTCAAAACTCTGTTTAGTTTTTTGGAGGAATGATGTAAGAAATAAGCATTCAGTGTTGATCCAATCATTGTTTTTCTTTTTGTTTAAATATTTGTATTACTGAGTTAATGACCTGAAATACATATATTTGCATCATGCCCTTTGTTAACATCAAAGGGTCCATTTAGTCACGTAACGTCTCAAAAATATTATATTTATAGTTTACATCAAATCGGGTGCGAAATCTTTTGGGTCATGTTCATAATTTCATTAATTATGAGACTTCAAATATATCCATACCATTGAAATGTGACTTTATATGTCAAATTGTATTTATTGCTATCACAGTAGCATCACTGAAGAAAGGAGAAAATGACGTTGTCATAACTATTTTATTGACTTGGTCAAAATTAATATAAAACATTTTAAATAATAGATTTAAAAACAATAATAACTCAATAAATTCTCTAACCTTGTTATGAAAATATGTTATCACTTTTTATTAATATTAAAGTTTAAATTACGTAATGTTGGATAAAACTAATTCACACGCCATTTTTTCCCAAAATACATGGTTAGCAAAAAGCTCTTTTTTTTTTGTATAATGTATCAAATCTAGGCAAAACCGAAGAACAAAAAATATATGAGGCAGCATAAATAACAATACTCCTCAAGGAACGGACCAATAACAACCTAGAGGATCAGGATGCAAACTTTAGCAATCTCATGCAAACTCTAGCAATCTCCCAAAAGGTGAAATTTTTGAAGATGTCAAGTAAATGGATCAAGCTCTCCAATTCAAGGGCTTCGGGGATTAATATGACATTATTTTTTTCAAGACCATTTAAAGACAGGAAAGGATGGGCCAATAACTTGACTCGTTGAGCAATGAGACGATCTTTAGCGAAGAATGTATTGTCACCATTTTCCTGAAGAGAATAAGAAGTGAGATACGAAATTCGTGAAAATCATCTGCAATTTGTGTGACATTAAGCCAAGTTCCATGAATAGATTTATTTACAAAAGGACTAAGTCATGAACTTTTTAATGTTAAGCGTATTGATAGCACAAGGCCATGTCAAGTTCGGATCCAATTTTAATTTCCACAACCATTTAAGTGACCAAAGGCTCCCCACACCAAGGTGCTGTTTGATTTTCTGAAGCAAAAATTTATGAAGTCTGCGGACCACCTCTGCAGTAGAAGAGGTGAATCAAACGGCTGCAGACTATAATAAGAAGCGTGTTTGTTTTTTTAACATCTGCATACTGCTGCAGATATAAAAAAAATTAAAATAAACTAATTTTATAAACCGAAAATAGCTTTTTAATACGTAAAATTTAATAATGTATAACATTTCGGTAAAAATTAATGATATTTCAGTAAAAAAGAATGATATTTCAACAAAAAATAAAGATATTTTCAGTAAAAAATAATGATATTTCATCAAGAAATTATCATTATTGAATATAAAAAAAATTAAAAATAAATTCAATAAGAATAAACGGAAAAAAAAAGGAAAAAAAATATGAAATAAAATTTTAATAACATATAATCAAAATTTCAGTAATAAAAAAAAAAGAAGAAGAGGTTGGAAGAGGTTGGAAGAGGCAGTACAAGTGTTGCGCCAAACAGAGCACGCGCAAAGGTTTTTTACTCAGAAGACTTCTAAAAAACAAACAACTGCGAGATGAAAAGTGTTGCGTGTGTGCTGCGCCGCGCAGCAGTAAGAGGTTTGAAGATTATTTAACTTTCTTATAATAAATAGATTTTGTATCATGAGCTTAAACTTGGTTTTCAAAATAAAAAAGTGTAATTTTTAATTCATTAATACATAAAAAAAACTATGATCAATTAAGTTCATGACCTATTAGTCTTCCTATAATTATTACTATTTTTATTTTATTTATTATTATTGTTGTTCTTGTTAAAGCAATTATAATGTAAACTTTTTGAAAGTTTTTTTTTTTTTTTTTTGTAATATCACCATTTCACAAGGCTTTAAATAACAAAAACTTTATTTAACAAAGTCACATTCTCATAAATCTTCTACAGTTTGTAACGTTTTCAAAATCTATTTAATATCTAATTTATTTATTTTTATTCATCTAAAATGTTTCAAATTGTCCCTCATTTTAAAAAAGCTTGGTTATTAAAATTGACCCGGTGATTTTGGAAACTTGAGTATCAACGCTTTGTCACCGGCAGGATCAAATGCCGGTCTAAGGTTTCCCTCATCGGCGGCTCTTATGTTTGATACTCTTTAGGTTTCAAATTGGTCAAAATTCTTCTCCCTCCAGGTTTTTGAAATCGCTCAATGGCATGAGATAAGTGGTCAACACCCACTAGGAAATCAAGGGGTGATTATCTGGATAGGGTTGAATCGGTCAGTTGAATTCCTCACCGTGTAAGTTTTAAAATCAAGTCTTTTTGCATCATCAATTTCCCTGCAACTGTTTTGACTATTGATATGTGGAGAATGTGTGATCAGGTTGGGTAAAGTGGTAGATGTTTTATTCTCTAAAAAGATATATCGTATGGGTAAAAGATTTGTTTTTTTTTTTTTCGTTTTACGAATGTTATGAATGATGATGCAATGGTGAAACAGCTGTGTGAAACGGATTTTTTTTGTTTGTTCCCTTCCTCCTTCTATCCCTTCTAAAGTTGAGAAAAGAAATGTGTTCGTGAATTCGTATGCTAGTGTAGTTAAAGGTTCTCCGATGAATGTGAGGGTTAATTAAACTATTGAGGAGTGCATTCATCTTGCCTCATGTGATTATGTGGTTGGAAAAAAAAAACTTGAATGTCTTATTAAATCAAGAGATTTCCTTACCCTATCTAACATTCGCATGTTGTGTTGGGATGAAGTGTTTGAGGAATTGGTGTTTAGATATGTTGGGGGTTTATGGGTGATGGTGGAGTTCATTTCTAAAGAATCTTGTAAGAATTTTTTGGCTAATAAATCTCTTGATCCTTGGTTATTGGATAAATGCCCTTGGGATAGAAATATCGTTCCTACAGATCAGTTGGTTTGGCTAGATGTAGAAGGACTACCTTTATGTGTTTGGAGTAAAGGAGTTTTTCATAAGATTGTTGAGAAATGGGGTTCGATTGCTCATATTGATGATGACCTTGGAGAAGATGTATACAAGAAACGGTTGTGTGTTTTGAATTCTTGTCAAGACATTATTTCGGAGGTTGTGAAGGTGTGGTTGGATGATATGTCGTTTAATGTTCGGATCAAGGAAGCCCCGGTTGAAATCCTTCATTTTCATCCGAAGAATCTAAATTTGAATTTGATGATAGAGATGGTTGTGACTTATTTGAAAATAAAGAAAGTGTTCATGTTGGTCATGAAAATGAGGAAGTATCTTCTGCTCCGTTTGGTTTTTATGTCACTATGGAAAAAATAAAGAATGATGAGATTGCAAGTAAAGAGAAAGTATGTTTCAATTGTTACAGAAAAGTCAAAGAATGTTTGGGTGACAACCAATTGCACATTGGGAATTTTCTACATGTTAAGAAGAGTGTTGACCATGCAAATAAGAAAAACCACATCATTGTTCAAAACAGCATTGTTCCGATGACAACAACCCCCTTTGATGCTATTATTGTTCACAAAGTGTAGATGGGGTATGTTGTTATTCTGTTGCAACCTCAGGTTGCTCCCATATCTCCAATTGAGGGTCTGACTAAATTTACTAGCAACGGTCAAGTGGATTCTGACCATCGTTTTTTCGTCTAAACCGGTAGGGTTTTCAAGTACATTTGGTCGTATTTCGAGAGTGTATGATTTGAAAGAATATCTTTCTCATCCACTAGGTTTTTCCAATCAAAAGCATAATTCTTTCGGAGCTAATTCTAGTTTTTTGGATGGTTTGTTTACAAATGTTTGTCAAGTTGATGAGTTTCAAAAAATGGTTGATATGGCGGATGTGATTTGTTATAATATGAAAGGCGTTGAATCTTGTATTTCTGAGTTAGTTGAAGGGCAATGAGAGAGACATGGTTATCCATGAATTGTATATTGATTAACATTCAAGGATCGGGTAATCTAGATAAGAGAATGTGGGTGAGATCTTTATGTCACAAGCATAAGGCGATTTTTTTGTCTATTCAAGAAATGAAAATAGAAAGTTTTGATAAATTTTTTGTTAGATCGTTTTTGGGGTAGTTTTTCTTTCGCACATGCCTTTTCTCCTTCTCATGGTATTTTGGCTATTTGGAATCCTAATTGGATTCAACATTATAGAGTTCTTACTTCTCATTATTTTGTTGTGATCGAGGCGGTTTAGGTTTTGACAGGTTTAGATGTTATGCTTATTTCTATTTATACTCCGCAAACAGTTGATACCAATAGACAAATTTTGTTAATTATTATTTCTTTGATCGGTTCTTTCACGGGAGAGTGCATTTTAATGGGAAATTTTAATGAATTTTGTGTTGAGTCTAAGAGATTGAGTTCTCAAATTTTTCCAAATTCTGCTACAATTTTTAATCAGTTCATTGATGATGCGGATCTTGTTGATATTCCCTTGGGTGTCACTCATTTTACATGTTGTGATAGATGGTGTTCAAATTTTAGTAAGCTTGATATATTTTTGGTTTCGCACGATATTCTTGACAGGTTTTCTCATCTTTCGGGTTTGGTTCTTGAGAAAAAAAAATGATCATCATCCCATCCTTTAACTGGAGCATGTAGTGGATTACAGGCCTTATCAATTTCGTATGTTTAATTCTTGGTTTGAGACAGAGTATTTTGATCAGATTGTGTGCAATTCTTGGACGTCTACTGTAGAATGGTGGATAATCCTTTAGATATGCAAAACTATCACACCCCCAAACCGGAACGACGGAAACGTTCGGGGGTGGAGGTCGTCATGTACAGTAACACAAAAATTGAATAATAGTAATCAAAGCAACAACAACCATTGTATTGATATTAATACGTTTACATTGTATTCGAATCATATTATATTGACTCCAAAAGTACATAGCAAGATAAAGACTTGAAGCTATTATGCTTCGTCTTCTAGGAACTTGTGTGTGTACTTATCTATTAGTGTCCTGAGAATACAAGTGGTTTGAAAAAGTGTCAACATTAAAGTTTGTGAGTTCATAAGCGTTTTGTTTTAGAAAACAAGTTCTTTGTTATTTTATAAAACATGTTGTGTTTCTCCGGAAAATCCTATATTTCCTGATGTAATAAATGATAAGTAAAATGTATCATACTAGTTCCTTCTACAAGCACTTAGTGTATACAAGTTATATACAATCCAGATCGAACAGACAATCGATTATGTGGTTTTTCCCCAAGCCCATAACCAAACAAGAAAAATGAAATGAGGTGGAAGGCACACATCCCACTGTTTGTTGGATCCTCATTGTATATAACCCTGATCTATTCACTAGGTACTTATTGAGTTTACTGTAATAGTCCTTTAAGTTTTGATGAACATCTTCCTTCATAAAATCCTATATTTTCTTAGTAAGAGTGTGATAATACCAGTTTCTTTCTATGACTACTTAGCTTACACTAGCTATATATATACCAAGATCAAACGGGAAGTTGATTGTGTGGATCTACCCTCAACCCACAACCAAGCAAGGAACAAGAAATGAGGCGGAAGCCACACATTCCACTGTCTATCGGATATTCTTCATACATAACATGGATGCATAAACTAAGGAATTACAGAATTAACCATAGTTGTTCTTATGTTGAATTGTAAACCGTTTGTCTGTAAAGTGATGACGTTGTCCTGGAAAATCCTATATTTCCCAAAATAGTGAGTTGTTGTCTATAGTGTTCCAAAAACTGAAAAGTACAAGTATTTTCCCATACTTAATATGTTAAAATGTAGCTTTATTAGAAAAAGAAACTATCCGAAAACGTGTTTATTCTGTAAACTGGTAGTGATGTTAATACCCTCATGTGATCACTTGAGTTTGAGGTATCTAATGGATCATTCAAATTTAAATATGTGGTGGCGGAGATAATTGGATGTGGTAAAGGATTATGATTGCGAGATCATGTATTACCCTGAGAAGAGGCCAATGTGGTGGTTGATGCCTTGAGTTGTAAGGAAGTAAGCACACCTATTAGTGATGTATGTATGAGGATGGTGGTTATTTCACCTCTGTTAGATTTAATCAAAAAGGATCAGGTGTCGGGATTGCAAAGGGAGAATTGGAAGGCAAAGCGAATTAGGGGTAGATTCCTTTATTTTTCAAAGAAATTCAGGGATTGTTGACTCAGTGTGGTATAGTTTGGGTTCTGAATAGTAGTAGGGTGCGACAAACAATTCTAGAAGAGGCTCATAAGTCAAAGTTATTGGTGGCCATGTATAAAGAGGGAGATAGCATGGTTTGTAGAGCGGTGTTTGACTTGCAGGAAAGTCAAGGCCGAACACCAGAGATCCCACAACAAGATGCATCCACTACCCATTCCCATGTGGAAATGGGAAGTGATCACCATGTATTTTATTACGAAGCTTCCAAGGACGGTGTGTGGAGTTGATTCTATATAGGTCATTATGGATAGATTAACCAAGAGCGCGCACTTTGTAACACTCGTATTTCTAGCATAGGCATTTATATTAAGTTGATAGTCTGGGTTAACCTTTGTAACTCATTTTGAAGAAATGAAAAGGGATTATGTGAATATTATGTGAATTATGTGTTTTATGCTTAATTATTAGGGTTTATTTAATTACGAATAAAAATAAGCGTCAAAATTGAACTTTGAGATAATCCCGATATCTTTACATAAACTTGTAATGGTCGAAACAAGGATTTCGGGGATATAAAGAATACCAAAATCTGAGTTATAACGAAGAAGTTATGACCTGTCGAAGTTTCACGACAAAACCGGCACGGTGCTGAATGTCGTAAAAAGTGAGTTTTCGATAAACTACTTATTAGCCTTATTAATCTAAATGAAAGTTGTAGTATTCGTTAAACCGAGAAGTTCGATAAAAAGAACGCCCAAATCTGACTTCGTATGAGGAAGTTATGATTTTTCGAAGTTTCAGCGTAGCAGTAGACAACTAAAAACTCGAATCTTAGATCGAACGATTTTTAGCCTACACAACGTAAACGAGAATTGAAGGTCTCGTCATTAGGAGCACAACGGTAAAAAGTCTGACGAGAACGGACGTCGTATGAAGAAGTTATGAAATTTTAACGGATTTCTTGTCCCGGTCTGTTAAAAATAATAATATAAAATTTAAAGTCAAAATTAGCCGACGAAGTCTGAACGGAAGTCGTAGAGCGTAAATTTAGCTACGCGTGCATATAAAGAACGTCAAAAACGGAGCTCGTATGCGAAAGTTATGGCTTTTAGAAGTTTTTGCACAAAAATCGAGAAATTTCGCATAGTCATACTCTTGCCACGTGTCCTCGCCTCGCAGGTGCCACGTGTCCGAACTTCTGATGAGTCATGCGAGCCATGTGTCCGAGCCGGAGACCAAGCTGATGTCTCATCGCGTGAACAGTACCTGCGTGTCATCTTCTGATTCGACCGTGAAGGAGGCCCAATCCGAAGCTGCCAGCTCTCCGTCCAAGCCTCGCACCGCCTAGCTCCGAACCTCGCATGTGCCCAGCAGACCGCGGTCCAATCAGAAGCTGCCAGCGAGCCCTTCGCACGTGTAGTCCTCGTGCGAGCCACCCCCTGCGAACCCTTGATCTGCGACGCGTATCCTCTTTCTGACCCTCCGATCAGAAGCCTCGCCCCTATAAATAGGAGGGTGCGAGACCTCCCGGGTAACTTTCAAAATTTGTCAATTTTAACCCCTAAACCCATATTTTCTTCATCTTAACATCCCACAAAGCCCCGATATCGATTGTAAAGCCCGGAATACTCCACGAAGTGCCCGAGAAGCCCGGAAAATTTATCTTTTCGGTTTCGAAGCTCGACCTTTCACAGAGCCCGGTTTCTCAATAAAACTCCCGGTTTTATTAGAAACGATCATTTTAGGAAACGAATTGCTGCCCGATTTTCACCAAAATAAGTGAGTGTGTAGTTACTTTCAATTTACACATAGATATGAAGTATTTACCTCGAAATACGTGTTATGTGTAAATATGCTAATTGTTTATTTGAGGTAACTGTTGAATTGATGTTTTATACAATTTTTAAACTGTATATGCTTTTGATCTACAAAATATGTTGGGTATAACATGGGTAAATGAAATAGTTGATGTGTGTTAAAATGGTGAGAGGCCTCGATGTTGTTGTTGTTGTTGTTGTTATTGTTGTAGTCATCTAGCGAAGTATAGATGACGACCGCGGACTTTCTAGATAGTCCAGTGGAACACTAGCAGGTTCGCAACTTGTAGGTGTTGATGAATTAAATGTTCATTGGCGTACTTCATCCCCCTCATGGTTGCCTTAAGGACATGTATGGTTGAGGAAACCCCTTAGCAATAGTGTCCATCCCGATGATATTCCTTAGGCTAGATCCCTTGTGATAGGTGTTTAGGGTTGTAAAGTGAGGACAACGGGAATGGGTAATCAGGGTTATTGTTGATTGGTGAACTTAATAAGTATATTATTATTGTGGGTTGAAAACCTTATATGCTCATCAGGCTCCCAAGCCTGACCCACTCAGTTTTATGATTACAGGT